TGCCAGGCATCGCTTCCAGGTTGGAGGCCATCGCTATTAGGTTGGAGACCATCGCTGCCAGGCATCGCTTCCATGGTTGGAGGCCATCGCTGCCAGGCATCGCTTCCATGGTTGGAGGCCATCGCAGCTTGGAGGCCATCGCTGCCAGGCATCGCTTCCAGGTTGGAGGGAGGCCATCCCTACTATGAGGGTCTTTATAAGTTGTGGCTGTTATAAGTTAACTTATAAGCTAAGTATAAGTGCACGTACGGAAGTTATATGTTGACTTATAACTTCCACAAGTTCCGCAAGTACTACCTGCAGTTACGGTACTTCGTAAGTTCAACTTGGTAAGTTCCGCGGAAGTAAGTTGCGTCACCTACACTGCACACACGCGCTACTTACAAAAACATTGAAATGTGAACTTATATAGACCCACTCATATATAGCATGTACATGCATGCAGCAGCGTCAATCCGGCTCAAAACGCGCGCTCAAACCGCACTCGAGCAAGACTTTTGGCATGAGTGGTTGCAGTTGGGAACCTTGTTTGAAAGCAATGGAGCAGGCTCTGAAGATTTTGGAACCCAGCCAACAGGAAATCAGGCGGGTGCATTTGAGCTCGCTAGCAGACCATTTGTCTCGCGCGGGAGTGCCTCCGGAGGAGGAGGCGAGCCTGATAGAAGCTTTAGACTTCTGCACCCAGGAAGAAAAAGAGAAGTTGCTGGCTGCTTGCAAGAAGTCGGCCCAGACGACAACGAAACGCAGAGCGTCACAGTGTTACGACAACTTCCCGTGTTACTTACCCGCCAAAATGTGGGAGGTTCTTCCATTGTTGCAGAACGGAAATCGTATGGAGGAGATTTTGCTGTTTCTCTTCAGATCTCTTTGGCTACGTTGCCCGGGTGAGCAAACGTTGGCCAAGGTAGTAGCTGTATGCGTGGCCGTAGACGGCGGTGTCGCAAGCAGCTTTCACTTGCACGAGTTGATGGAGCAAGCTCGCTCCATCTGGAAGGGCATTACTTCAAAATACCGGTCTGAAAGTGAAGTGCCTGAGTTTTTGCTGACCTTGCCTTCCAGAAAGCAAGATTTACCTGACAAGATGAAAGAGCTCGTGGGATCGGCTTGGGAGGACAACATGGAGATTCCTTTTTCCGCCCACGACTTGGACAACCTCGCCAGACGAGTGCCCCTGAGGAAGACCAATATGGGGGCATGCAAAAAGTCAACCGCCTTCGCGAGCAGCGCGTCTCAATATATGTATGCGAATCCTGCGGGCTTTCAGTGTACTTGGCCTACGGGCAGAGATCCGCGACAGGCTGGGCCACTGACAAACCTCGTCATCTTTCCACCGAGAAGCAGGGAAGAGCCGAGACGAGCGCTATCCTGGTCCGAACCTGCTGCCAACGCACCGTCTGCGGCAGGTCAGCCAAGGCTTGCGCTTCCCGCGCCGGAGGCCAGCGTGCCTAGGCCAGAGAGCTTAGCAGAGAGGAGCGCAGCTGCGCTATCTTCAGCAGAGAATTTGGAGTCGCAAGACTCGGAGACAAAAGCGCTGCCGCCCAGTCTCATCACACTACCTACAGAGCCGACGCAGACCAAGGAGGAGGAGGGGAAAATGGAAGTGAAGAGGTCAGTCAAGCCGGAGGAAAAAAAACAACACAAAGCCGGAAACAGTTCGCGCGGAAATGACAGAGGCTTTGCGTGCGAAAAAGGCAAAGGCCGCTGCGGCGAGCCGAGCGAAAACACAGGCCACAGGAGAGCTGAAAGCGCAGGCCAAAGGAAAGGCGAAAGCGCAGGCCAAAGGAAAAGCAAAAGCAAAGGCCATGAAGAGGCCCGCAGCCAGGAACCCCTCAGCCGAACGCGCTGCGGAGACATCTCCATGCCCACCACCCAAGAGGAAGAAAGTGGACGCTGCCGACCTGGCAACGCTGGAGACCCGGAATCCGCGCACTCACTTTGCGGCACGGGCAATGTATTTTTCCACAGTAGTGTGCACGGTCAATGCAAAGGAGAATTCTACAAGGCCAAATCCTATTTGCGTTACTGGCAGGACAGCGACAAAAAGTGGAAAATGATCGTTGGCGCGAGGAACTCTGTCGACGGCTCATACCTCTGGTTCGGGCAGGGGCGGGGAGGCAAGAGTTAGTGAAGCAGCGCGACGCTTGGGATGTGTGAGAACGGAGACGCGGCGCAGACCGTTGCCTTTGACCTGAGGGTCTATAAAATCTGTTTGGAACTTTGGCTGGGGATAGCTTTCCTGCGAAAGCTTGCCTCTGCTTTCGGACAGACCCAGGCACCTCGCGAGGCGACAGTGGTTGTTATAAAAGGGCTCTTTTCATACCCGCAACTGCTATGAAGGGGCCTCAGGGCCTTCATTGTAGACCCCACAAACTGGGGTCTAGAATAGAGTTCTCAGGAGTCCCACGTAAGAATGGGCAAGGGCTCTAGACCCCCCCCTGGGACCAGCAACCCTAGGTCTAGAATGGAGTTCTCCACAATATGTTAAATTGGAAAAGTACATACAAAAAGTTGAGTTCAGAAGTCATCAAAAACAAAACCAGAACTTGCGCGTCAAGCGAGGATGAGGATAACTGGAAACATCTAAAATCTATCAAAATCTTTGACCTGGGGAATGTCTCTTGCGCAGCCCACACGCTCCCGCCAACTGCCTGCCCCAGTGGTGCATAGAATCTTTCTCGCTCTCTCACTCGACGGTTCGATCCAGAAGGTTCCTGTCAGCAGTTTTCTGCCAACCTTCCAGTGTTGACCTTCCACAAGGCCAGCACTCTGACCCCACTGGCCTTCCCACAGCCAGAAAAAACGCGACGTGACCTTATGTTCCACAAGGTCCTCACTCGGAAGCGCCCTCGCTTTCTTCGGCGTCGGCGCCCCTGCTCTGCAAGTCTTCGCAGCGCGCAATCTGGGCGATGAGGGTGTTCATCGCCTTGGGTGTTCATCGCCTTGCAGCTTCCATCTTTCATCGAGCGATGCACCTGGGATCGTGTCTGCAAATTGGCCGGCCGAAAGCTGAGCTGACCCAAAATTGATTTCCTGCTTGAAGGGGAGCCTCACAAAAACATGGAAAACAAAGTAAAAACCTGGGACCCCCAAAAATGGAACTGCGTGAAACTACATGAAACGACCGCAAAGTATCTGACGACAGCCATTCCTGGACTTTTGCGCCGTATGCCAGCTTCTGCCTAATCTGACCGAAGAAGGCACTGAAGAACCCCGGGCTCTTCTCAAGCAACGTCTGCATGGCGATGGATTCTGTTTTGCCTGCGTGGGTGAATCGCACATGGTTGTTGTCGATGGTCTTCATGACCTTCCCCGGAAAGAGGCGAGCCTGTTCTTCAACCAACTTATGCATCTCTTGGACGATCAACTTTGCCCCGGCTTTCGTCCGCTTGAAGTTCTCCACTTTCGGGACGATGTACTTTGCCGTGCGTTGGCGCTTCGCCGGCTGCGGCCCCCCCGCCGGCTCAGCGTCTAAGGCTGCCAGCGCACGACGGCTCGCCTGGAAATTCGGTGCAACTTTTGTGCCGCTTTATCGACGCAAGCCACCGAACAAAACCACCCCCCCAAAAAAACAACAGACACGACGCAACAGCAAAAAGCTGCAGTCCTCTGGAAAGATCACCTGCAACCCGTCCAGCCCAGTCTTTTTGGGCACATCTTCACCATCTAGCCGCACTCCGATTTGCTCCATAGGAACCACGATCAAGATGCTGTCGGCATCACAAGCCTCAGGGCGACACAGAGGTTTAGAATTCAAGGCTGTGACTTGGAGAGGAGACACCACAAACCTTTCACCCACAAACATACCAAAAGCCCCTTCGACCCCCTGCAAAAAGTGATGTTGCTTTGGTTCATTGAGGATATTTGGTTAGTCAAGGGGGTCTGGAATGAAGTTCTCAGGGTGGTAAGGGCTTCAAAACATCTCCCCCTTCTCAGCAAACCATTTCAGACCTGCAACCAAGGATGAAGAGTGATAGGTGTGTGTAAGTATAGGTTATATCAAGGGCAAGTCCAAATATTCGGTTAATGAAGAGGGTCTGGAATGATGTTCTCAGGGTGGTAAGAGCTTCAAAGCACCTTTGACTTTTCAGCAAACCATTTCAGACCCACATCCAAAGACGAAGAGTGGCAGGAGATATGTATGTATTTTAGGTGTTTGTGTATATACCTAAGGTGTACAGAAGGAAAATCAAGTTATTCGATTAAGGGGGTCTGGAATGAAGTTCTCAGGGTGGTAGGAGCTTCAAAACATCTTCCACTTGTCAGCAAACCATTTCAGACCCGTATCCAAAGACAAAGAATGGAAGGACATATGTATTTTAGGTGTCTGTGTATGTTAATGAAGGGGGTCTGGAATGAAGTTCTCAGGGTGGTAAGAGTTTCAAAACATCTTCCACTTCTCAGCAAACCATTTCAGACCCACATACAATGATGAAGGGTAGAGCTAGAACACAACAAAAGTACCTTAAATGTGGTGGAAAATGTCCTTTTCAAGCAAGAAGCATAGTGGCCTTCCTTGTCACCATCAACCTTGCGCATCAAAGCAACACGGGCTGAGTGAAGGGAACCTTTGCTCACCTCACGAGGGCAAAGTTGCGCTCCAGTACTTCTTTTGTAGCATCGCCACGTGGACATCACAAGGGCCACATGCCACGCTTTCTGGTGCTGAACTGCCACTATGTGTCCAGTCGACACCGAGATTGAAGGCGGCAAGGATGGAGCATGTTCACTTCGAAATTTCTCACAGGACTCAATCCAGGCTTGCTGGCGCGAAACGCGCATAGCTGGCAGTTTGTCAACAGCATCTGCGCAGGCAAGCTGGTGCTGAAGGAGGTTCTGCCACTTTGGGATGCTCTTCTGGATCTTGTCCCGGGTGAGAAAGTGGTTCGGGATGATGTCTGCGTCGCAACCGTCCGGGCCAAGACGAAGATGGCATAGGAGACGCCATAGGTCATCCTTCGCACTCTCAAATGTTTCATGGCCACGCAGCGCACCTGACAAAGTGAACCTGCCAGGTCGGGGCTGGATTTGGCGTGGCGTTGTCGGCATTGATAGATCCTGCAATAAGGAGATATGAATGGAATGGAACACACAAGATCCTGTTCTGCTCCACAAGATCCTGTTCTGCTCAAAAACCCATTCAATTTCCTCCAAGATCGTCTGGTCCAATGCCAGGAGCCTGGAACCAACACGGAATTGAACGGACCATGAAATTCAAGAAGACACACAGCTTCTGCGAAGAAACAACATGAATGGATGGCCTCTAGTTTTTTTCGCAGGCTATCCGCCCAATTCTTCCTGTCCTGGAGCTGGCAACTTGTAGATGAGCTGAGTTGGATTGGGGTGTTTTCATGAATTTTAGCAAGCTTGAAGACCCCAGTGACGCAATGAACCCTCTCCTTCACCGAAGGGATGACCAGCATTGTCACCCACTTCACTGGCTCTCCCGGCCTCAAAAGGATGTGTGTGATTGCTCGAACCCGACATTTCAAGTTTCGCCCGCGCTGGTTGGTTCGTTTTGCGAGCGCTCATCCTGGGCTTGGCTGGGTTTCATGGCCTGTGTGGATGAGCTC